AGTTCTAAGATTTTGACCCAGCAACGTTGAAGGAACAGTGATATATTTTTAAGTCTGGATGCTAAATGGCTTGGAAGGCAACTTGCAGGTGGTGGTATTCTCATGTAGCTGCTGCACCTGTCCTTCTTGATTATAGTGGTTCTGAGTTCAGAAGGTGTTGAATTTCTGGAGTGCATCTTGCAGATGGCACACATTGCTGCTACTGAGTGCCAGTCTTGAAGGCAGTAGATGTTATGGATGTGGTGTCAACCAAGCAGGTTGTCCTAGATGGCATCAAGCTTGAGTATTGTTGGAGCTACACTCATCCAGGAAAGAGGGGAGTTTTCAATCACATTCCTGACTTGTGCTTACAGATGATGGACAGGCTTTGGGAAGTCAGGAGACACATTATTTGCTGCAAGATTCCTTGTGTTTGACCGGCTCTTGTCGCCACAGAATGAATATTATCTAGCCCAGTTCAGTTTCTGGTCAACAGTAATCACCAGGATGTTAATAGTGAAGTGTTCAATGATGTCAAGGGCGATGGCTAGATTGCCTTTTGTTGGAGATGGCCATTGCCTGACCCTTGCATGGCGTGGATATTTCTTGCAATTTATCTACCCGATAAAAAACAGTGCTGGATATTGTGCAGTTATCAAGTGGTAAAGCAACTGAAGATGTTTGGGCCATAAGCACAGTTCTGAAGAAATCTGCCAGAGATGTCATTGAACTGAGATACAGTCATTCAGCATGGAAACAGGCCCTTCAGCCCAACTCATTCGTGCCGACTAGGCTTTCTAAACTGAACTAATTCCATTTGCCTGCATTTGGCCCGGGTCCCTCTAAACATTTCCTATCTTTTCCTTTTAAACATTGTAATTGCACCTGCCTCTGTCACTTCCTCTGGCAGCTTGTTCCATATACATAGAAAATAGGTGCAGGAGTAGGCCATTCAGACCTTCGAGCCTGCACCACCATTCAATACGATCATGGCTGATCATGCAATCTTAGTACCCAATTCCTGCCCTCTCCCCATACTCCTTGATCCCTTTAGCGTCACAGGCCACCTCCAGCTCCCTCTTGAATATATCTAATGAAGTGGCCCCAATAGCTTCCTGTGGGAGAGAATTCCATTGGTTCACAAAACTCTCTGAGCAAAGAATTTCTTCCTCATCTCAGTCCTGAGTGGCTTACCCCTTATTCTTAGACTGTGACCCCTTGTTCTGGACTTCCCCAACACTGGGGACATTCTTCCTGCATCCAGTTTCATCAGAATTTTATATGTTTCTATGAGATCCCTTCTCATTCTGCTAAATTCCAGAGAACACAAGCCCAGTGATCCAGTCTTTCCAGATAGGTCAGTCCTGCCATTCCGGGAATCAGTCTGGTGGACCTTCGCTGGATTCCCTCAGCAGCAAGAATGTCCTTCCTCAGACTAAGAGACCAGAACTGCACACAATATTCAAGGGGCTCCCAATCCGAAACGTCAACTTCCCCGCTCCTCTGATGCTGCCTGGCCTGCTGTGTTCCTCCACCTTGACTCTATGTTGTCTCTGACTCCAGCATCTGCAGTTCTTGCTATCTCACAATACTCAAAGTATGGCTTCACCAAGGCATCCTTACTCTGATACTCAAATCCTCTCACTATGAAGGACAGCATGCCATTAGTTTTCCTCACTGCCTGTTGTACCTGCGTGCCAATCTTCAGCGACTGTTCTACCATGACACCCAGGTCTCGCTACACCTCATGTTTTCCTAAACTGCCACTACTCAGATAATAATCTGCCTTCCTGTTTTTGCGACTATAGTGGGTAACCTCAGATTTATCCACATTATATTACATTTGACAAGTATTTATCCACTCAGCCAGTCTGTCCAAGTCACCCTGCAGCCTCTTAGCATCCTCCTTACAGACACACTGCCACCTAGCTTAGTGAAAACCATTCTCTATGTGAAAAGGTGCCAATCAAGGTCCTTTTTAAATCTTTCCCCTCTCACCTTAAACCTATACCCTCTAGCTTTGGATTCCGCTACCCAAGAGAAAAGACCTTGGCTATTCACCTTATCTATGTCGTCATGATTTTATAAATCTCTATCAGATTCCTATGCTCCAGTGAAAAATAATCCCAGCCTATTCGGCATCTCCTTATAACTCAAATCTCCCAGTCTCAGTAACATCTTTGTAAATTTTTTTTTTACCCCTTTTCCAGTTTATAACATCCTTCCTCTAGCAGGGTTACCAGAACTGCATGCAGTACTGCAAATGTGACCTTACCAATGTATTGTACCGCTGTAACACAACATCACAACTCCCGTATCAAGATGACTGACCTCCAACAACCACAACCATCTTCCTGTGTGCCAGGTATATCTTCAACTAGTACAGAGTTCCACCCTGCCCTCCGGGTCCCACTGACTCCAGTTTTGATAGAGCTTCTTGATGGCGCACTCAATCAAATGTTGCCTTGATGACAAAGCCAGTTAATCTCACCTCCCCTTTGGAACTCAGTTCTTTTATCCATGTAGGTTCAGAGCAGTAAATTGCATCTAGTAAAGGTTACATTCCAATTCTAAAGAGTTATTATCAACTCGAAACATCTGTTGTTTCACTTTCTATCTATGCTGCCAGACTTGCTGATTATTTGCAACACATCTGGTTTTCTAGCACCTTTATGACTGGTTTTCGAATTCAACTCCATCTTTCCACATTTTCTCACCTGGAGTTGTGTGTGCAGTTTTGGTATCCTTACCCCAGAAAGGATATTATTGCATCCCTCTATTGCATGAAAGGTTCACCAGACTTGTTCCCAGGATACCTATGAAGACAGATTGGACAAACTGGGATGTACTCTCTAGCATTTCAAAGAATGACACGATTTCTTTGAAACCTACAAAATTCTTAAAGGGATAGACAGGTTAGATACAAATAAGAAGAACTGGCTTGAAGTCTATAACCAGGGAGTACTATTTTTAAAAAAGGGATCCATTTAGGACTTTCGTGAGAGAGTGTTATTTTCACTCAGAGAATAGTGAATCTTTGGAATTCTCAACTCCCCACCCCAACCAGGGGGCTGGGGAAACCGTCTTTAAGTATGTTTAAGGTAGAGATTGATAGATTTCTGAACACCAATGCATAAAAAGTTAAGGGATACTGCGGGTAAATACCATTGAAGCATTTGATCAGGTTTGGCTGGCTGAGTGCCTACTCCTGTTCCTTTTGTCATATCTTATACTTTCAGTTTGATTATACTCAACAACTAGGCATCTGTATTTGTACAGGGCAGAGAATTTGAAAGTTCAGAGCCCTTTGAGTGAAGACATTTCTCATCTCAGTCCTGAATGGATAACATTTTTTCTGAAACTGTGATCTTATGTTTTAGATTCCCTAGTCAGGGAAGTTTCCAATATCCATCTTGTCAAGCCCCTTAAGGATTGTATGTTTCAATTAGATCACATCTCATTCTTTTCAATTCTACAGAATATAGGCCTAGTCTCCATAATTGCCCCTTATGAAACAATCCCTGTAATACAGAAATCAGTTCAGTGAACTTTTGTTGTTCTCTCTCAGGGGCAAGAATGTTCTTCCTTGAATAAGAAGATTAAACTGTACTTCGAATTCCTGGCATTACCTATACCTTATATAATAGTTGAAAGACTTCTTTACTCATATTCCAATACATTTGTGACAAAAGCTCACATACCATTTTATTTGCCTCTCTAATGGCTTGTGGAACATGCAGATTACTTTTTTGAGATTCATGTACAAGGATACACATGTCCCTCTGAATGCAAACATTTATTAGACTCTCACCATTCAAATATATTTTGCTCTTTTATTTATCCAAATGAAGTAGATAATTTCACACCTTTCCTCATTGTATTGCATTTGCCATATTCTTACTCATCCACACAAAATGTCACTTGCTTCTGCGGCCTTACAGCATCCTCCTCACTGCGTACATTTCTACCTAATTTTTTATTTTTCCTAGATTTGCAAGGGAGTCAAAGGGTATGAAGGTAGACAGAAAAGTAAAGTTGAGGTTACAATCAGATCAGCCACGATCTTATCAAATTGCAGAGCAAGCTTAAACAGCCGAATGACTAATTGCTTTTTCTAATTTGTATCTGTACATTCATATTTGGATATGTGATACTCAGTTCTCTCATATAAACCATCAATAAAGAACATCAATACCTGATGTCAAAATAGTGATCCTTGCAATATCCCATTAGTTACTACCTGCCTATTCAAAAAGATCCTATTTATTCTCTTTCCATAAACCAATTATTAATTCAGTCATGGGATGTGGGGGAATACTGGCTGGACAGCTTTTCTTTGTACTCCCCTCAACGCTTTTGAAAAAGTGGTTACCTTCTTGAACCGCTTGGTGTAGGTATAGCCACAATGCCATTAGGGAGTAGTTCCAGGATTTTGACCCAATGATACTGAAGACAAGGCAATATATTTCCAAGGCAGGATGGTAAGTGGCTTAATCTGAACTAATAATCCTACAAATCCAAATTTGTCTAATGACCTTCTGTGCAGCACCCTGGTGATCAATCTCCAAATATTGTTTACCCCTTGTTGAAACAAGTGTTATTAGTGGGTTAGAGTTTTAGCTAGTAGATATATGTTGTTGGTTCATAACTATTTAACAGTAGCTAAAGTCTGTTTCTTAGGGATAAATAGTCATTCTTAAGTATAGAAACCTGTTCCATGTTGTCATTCTGGGATTAAAACACACATAAATTGGGAAATTTTATATACTTTTACAAAAGCTTTAATTTTTTGGACAACTCTGGGAATAGCAGTACTTAATTTCTAATATGGTACTTCAGTGAGTTGTGACAGTTTATACATTTTAAATACAGGGAATGGAATGTAACATGAATGCTTAAATAAAATATAATTAGAACTTCATATGCTCTATGTTTGAAAACCTAAAATTACATAGTAATCAATTTTCATAAATATATTCTTAAAATTAACTCTAACAGTTCCTTGTGCATGCTGAACGTACCTTTTTCAACTTGGTTATGGAACCATACTTCTTCATAGGTTCTACAACTTTAGCTTCTAGCCTTTCAACCTATGCAACCAAAAAGAAAATTGCAAACAAATTAAGAATCAAAATCATAGAAACAGGCCCTTCAGCCCACCATGTCTATGCCAACTAACAATTATCACACTACACTAATCCCACGTTCTTGCAATTGGTCCATAGCCTACTGCACCTCAGCATTTTAAGTACTCATCTAGATGCTTCTTAAATGTTGTGAGAGTACCTGCCTCAACCAACCCCTCAGGCAGCACATTCTCTATATGTATTAACCTCTGGGTGAAAGATTTTTTTTTCAGATCTCCTCTAAACCACTTGCTTCTCACCATAAACGTATGTCCTCTGATCTTAGATACATCTGCCATGGGAAAGAGATTCTTGCGATCTATTCTGTCACTGCCTCTCATAATTTTGCACAACCTCAATCAGATTCCCTCTCAGCCTTCTCTGCTCCAAGGAAAATAAACCCAGCCTGTCCAGTTTCTCTTTTTCTTTCCTGAGACTTTTCATCCCGGACGACTTTCTGGTGAATCTTCTCTCTTCAGCGCAAATCACATCCTTCCATTAGTGTGGCAACCAGAACTATACACAGTATTTTGGAAGGAAATTTGATGGAATGTGATTGATCTGCTGAATTAGGACATTAAAAATTACACATAGATAAAAATTAAACTGAATTTACTCTCACTGGCAACAATGCAAGGAAACAGATGTGAACCCATTGTCCGTTGGCTAGGCATTTTGGAGTTTGCTACACTAATGGATAAATTTTATTCTTTTTTAAAATCAGAATTCAATGAGTCACTTTTACACAGTACATGAATGCAGCTAATGGCATATGTAATATTTCGCTGCCACCAACTATACCAAATATACAAATGGCCAGAATTGGCAGTGGACCTTTTTGTGCATCTACCCGACATGCATTCAGAACAATGACACCCTGTTTTCTTTGTAAACAATAATAGTGTATCTGATAAGCCATGCTGTTATAAAATCAACTTATGATATAAACACACAGATATATGCACTCAGATCAGAGTTCACTTTGTGGCTCACATGTACATATGCCACCTGTCCCTGAGGTTTACATCCTATCCTAGAATGGGGGAACTCAAAGACAGCGAATCGACAGAAGTGCCATGGAGTCATTTACTGCACATCTATCTAACCAAGGGGGGTGCCTCAGTTTTTTGCATCATGTGGAAGATGGCACTTCCAAAGGTGCAGTATTCCCTTAGTATATGAAATGTTAGACTAGATTTTGTGCTCAAGCCTCACGTGTGGACCTAAAACTCTCAATCTTAGAATCAGAGTTAAACATACTGTCGACTGAGTCATAACTGGAGAAATCAGAACAGTAGGAAATGCATTGGAAAGGTAAATCTAAATAAGAGAAAGGAATTAAATGTTTAATATGAGGCAGTTCAGTAATAAAATGTTTCCATTTACTTTGTTTGGTACTTCATAATTTCAGTATTGTTGGAAAAAGACAATTTTGTCGAACATTTTTTATCTTGCACTCATCTGGAAGATGTGCAAGAATACCAATTTAAGGGAATACCAACATTTACATTGTATGACTGGTACAGCCATTGTCATAGATAATGTATCTGAGTTAATTTGCCTACCAATCAGAATTTTCTTCTCTTACAGCAATTCTCATTCAGTTACTTTTTCCCCTTAAACTGATATCCTTGCAAATGGGTCAGATGAGTCTAAAATAAAGCATTTTGATAAAATTTGTCTTTTGTTCCAATAACAGAAGTCTCTCTCTATTTGTGGGAAGAGATCAAAATTAGAGGCAGATAATATAACATACAAATAAATTCAAAAGAGGAATTCTATAGAAATACGTTTATTAAAAAGAGTCAAAAGAATGCAGAACTCTCAACTTAAAGGAGTATTTGAAACAATTAACATTGATGTGTTTCAGGTAAACCTAGATAAATGCATGTGAAAAAAAGGGTTAGATGAAGATGGCTCGTGGAAGAAAGCTCACACGGAGCATAAGACTGGTTAAATCCACTGGGGCAATTCCACTCCGTTGGGGCAAATCGGCTGTTTCTGAGCAGTAAATTGTGTGTCTGTATTTTTAATCTAGGATCCTTAAATAATTTCTGGGATTCATCATACAGATTATAGCAATTTCAATATTTCACTAAATGTTTTCAAAGACAAAACTTCCAGTTATTTAGCATAAGTGTTTTAAAAAGGACTTCAGGCCAGCAGTGTCAAAAACAGAAGTGTAGCACAAATTGTATATTTTTTGCACGCCCCTCCTCTTGATTAGGTACAGCAGAAGTATGCTGGTGGATAACGTTCTTTTGATTTCGGCACAATGTTACAGAATCACAGAATGGTTACAGCACAAAAAAAACGTAATTTGAACTCTTATGCTAGTGCTGGCTCTCCAAAGGAACAATTTACCTAGTGCCACTCCTCTGCCCTCTTCCCACAGCCCTGTAAAATTTTCCTTTTCAGATAACAATCCAACTTCCTTGAGTGCATTAATTAAACCTGTTTACAGTCTTCGCATTTCTGAATATAAACTAATTGATTCCTTCCTAAAATGTGAAACTGGACGCAGTTCTCTAGTTGAGGCCACACCAGTATTACATACAAACTTAATATAACTGCCTTTTGCACACTATATGACTGTTAGTTTAAAAAGAAAAGAGAAATTTTTTTGTAATTGTGCTATCTCAACCTATCCTGACACCTTCAATGATTTATGTACACAGGTCCCTCTGCTCCTGCACTCCTTTTGAATTGTACTCTTTATTTTATATTGTCTCTCCTTTCTTACTGCCAACTGGATCACTGGATAACTAACTTCAGATGAATACTCGCCATTGTCCCAATTTCAATTTCCATTTTGGAATCCTTCTGCCTCGGAGTGGTACTGATAATTGATTCTGAATGACAGCTGTTGCTTCACAGATAACGCCAAAGATTTAGAAATACCCAGTAGAAAAAAAAACATTTAATTCCATTATAGTGAACTTCACGCAGATCAAAAAATCAGAAGTGAAAAGACAGTGTTGAACATGGTGTACTGCCAAACAAAAATATTTTTAAACAAATATTTTCAGCAACTCACCTCTGCATGTCTATAATCTTGAACTAAAGCAAAGTGATCTGCAAAGCTACTCAGACCATATTTTAAATTAGGAGTTTCTGTATCAGAGTACTCTCGGAGTTCTTTAACCAGGAGGTCTGACTTATCACGTAGTCTTGCAGTTTTCCGTGCATAGGCTGCAAATAAGGTGCAGATCTCACCAAAGTGCTTTTCCACATTTACAACAGTGCTGTGAATATACTTTGTTTGACTGTCTCTGAAAAAGAAAGTTTTACTTTTAGTTGCTGCAGAATGATGAAAGTTTTAGAGATAAAAATTATGACAGAGGATCTCTTCTAAAACTTGTTGCATGTTGTGATTAGTAATTGTGATGTCAGCCTTGCTTCTCCTTTAGCAGCATTGCGGAAATCCAGATAGTTGACAAGTGTGACAAATTCATGAATTGTGGTGGGGATACTTTAGGAGATAGCAAATCAGATGGCTCTTGCTCATCTTTATCCATCCACAACCCCATCAGCAAGTTAGTTTTGCAGGGGTCGAACTTTTAGTACTACACAATTTAGCATCAAGACATCAGGGAGGCTAAAATATTTTGGCTCGAATTTCTGCAGGATTCCCTTGATGTTCTAATGTTGGAAGATGTGGAGAAGATGGATGCAATAGCTGATAATAGCCATTTCTTCATCACAATCTCCTATCTGCACAAAAATCCCAAGATGATTTTTATTTTCTTGCACATTAGTGATATTGACTGCACAACTTGGAATACTGCAGAAAATTCAGCACAGAAGAATATGGGGGTCCTTGTGCATAAATCACATAAAGCTAGCATTAGTACAGCGGGTAACAGGGAAGACAACTTGAATGTTGGCCTTGATTCAAAGGGACTGGAATATAAAAATAAGGAAATCTTGCTAAAACTATACAAGATCACACCTAGAATACCGTGAACACCTTTGGTTCCGCATCTAAACAAAGGCATACTGGTATAGCAGGCAGTAAAAAGAAGCTTCACTAGGTTGATCCCAGGTACTCATTGGAGTTTACAAGAATAAGAAATTACCTTGAAGTATACATTCTCTTAGGGGACTTGAGAGGTTAGATACAGAGAAGTTGTTTCCCTTATAGGTGAGTTTAGGACAAAATGGCATAACAAAAAGAATAAGGGGTTGCCCAGTTAGGATAGAGAACAGGATTTTCTTCTGTGTGTAATCAATCTGTGGAATTCTTCACTGCAAAAAGCTATAGAAACTGGGCCATAAGTATAGTCAAGGCTGAATTAGACAGATTTTTAGTTATTAAGGGGAATCGAGGGCTGTGGGAAAGTCAGGAAAGTGGAGTTGAGGATTACCGATCAGTCATGATCTCACTGAACTACAGCAGACTCAATGGCCGAATGGTTTACTTTTACTCCGACGTGTTATGGTCTCATTGTCTTAGGACCTCCAACTTTTCCTGTGCAACACAAAGTGAAGTCTGTTGGAACCATCCAAAGTTTCCAACTCTAACTTAGAGTTAGGAACATTTTTTTGGAAAAAAAAGAAGGTTCCAGACACCTGGTAATTGCCTGCTAAAAGTTTCAAATTCCCAGACAGGACACACAGTCAATTATGGCTTATCTTTCACATGGTCCATCTACATCACCACACCCACTCTAAGAATACCTAAGCTTCTGAGCCTAACTCAGAATTTGAAATTTTTGTGGAGGATCCTGAGGAGCAGGGAGTTGCCAACTTGAAGCTCAAACCTCTGACAACTGGAAGACCTTGGCCTAAATATACCAGAGCCTTTCAGCATAACTAAAATGGTCCCCTTCAGTGTGGATTAGTGACACACGTATCTGAGGCTCTGCTTTCCTCAACCCTGCTGGAAGGTTCAGAAATTAACGAGTTTTCTGAATTTTTCACACTCGAGGGGGAGGGCGAGGATTCAAGTCCAAAACATAAAATCTGCACTCCCTTCCCACTCTCCAATCCATCCTCTTTAATTAGAAAGGGATCATTAAACATAGGAGCAGAAACAGGTCATTCATCCCATCGTGTCTGGTCTGCCATTTGATGACATCGTGGCTGGGCCGATAATCATCAACTCCACTCTTCTTCCTTTGCCCCATAACCCTTGATTCCCTCCCCAATTAACAATCTATCTGCATGTTGAAGATACTTAATGACCCAGCTTTAACAACCGCCTGCAAGGAATTTCACAGATTCACTGCCATCTGAGAGAAGAAATTCCTCCTCATCCGTGTTTTAAATGTACAACCCCTTACTCTGAAATTATGCCCTCTTGTTCTAGATTCTGTCACAAGGAGAAACAACCTTTCCACATCTGCCCTGTTAAGCAGCCAAAGAACCTTGTATATTTCAATAAGGTCTCCTCATTCTCCTAAATTCCAAAGAATACAGGCTCAACTGACTCAACCTCACCTCATAAGACAAACCCTCCATATGTGTAAAAATGTAGGGAACCTTCTCTGGACTGCTGTCAATGCCAGGATATTTTTCCTTAGACTCGTGTCTTGTATAGTTTTTGCAAAATCTCCCTACTTTTATTCTCCACTACCTATAAAATTAAGTGCCAACATTCCACTTATCTTCCCTACTGCTCACTGAATTTAGATGCTAGCATTTTGTGATTCATGCACAAAGACTGCCAAACCCCTCTGTTATGCAACTTGTTCCAAATAAATAATATTCAGCTCCTCTATTCTTCTGGTCAAAGCACATAACTTCACATTTTCCCACCTCATATTTCATCTGCCAAGTGTTTGTCCACTCGCTTAACCTGTCTATATCCCTCTGCAGAATCTGTGCAATCCTCACAGCTTGCCTTCCCACTTATTTTTGTGTCATTCACAAATTTGGCTATAGTACATTCACTTTCCTCAACCAAGTCATTAATCTATTATCGTAAATCATTGTGGCCCTCGCATTGATCGTTATGGCACTCCAGTCATTGTAGGTTGCCATTCTGAAAAATGCCCACCCTTCTTAACTCAACTCTATTCATGCTAGGATATTACTTTCAACACCATGGGTTTTTGTCTTATTAAGTAGCCTTATGTGTAGTACCTTATAAATACAACTAGCTCTCTAACCCCACAATTCCTTACATCATGCAGATAGGGAGGAATGAGGCCTGTGGGGAATTTCAAAAGAAGAATGGAATTTTAAATCAAGACATTACTTGACAAGAAACCAATGCAAGTCAGCAAGCAGAGGGGTGATCAGTGAACAGGAGTTTGTGTGAGAAAATACACGGGCAGCAGAGTTTTGGATGATTTCACATTTCTGAGTGGAAATGGGAGTCATTATAAGAGGCTTGTCAGAAATGTATTGGAATCATTAAATCTAAAGGTAACCAAAAACAGCCATGGATGACAGCAGCAGATGAGTTGGTGTAAGGTGGTTAAAGGTGATATTCTGAAGATTGGCATATCTGGTATCAGGGATGGTGCCGCAATACTGTCACAAACTTATCCTGGGATCAAATACAACGAAATTGTTCAGCTTCAGACAGTTTCCACAGTAAGGAGTGGGTTCAGATGTCAGGAAATGGAACTGCAGCAGCAATTGAAGGTGATGGCTTTGGTTTTCTGCAATTTTAATTGCAAAAAACTGCTGAAATGGAGAGGGTGGATGGTGAGGTAGAGCTGTGTATTGTCAGTGGACATGTGAAAACTAACACATCACTTTTGGATGACATCAGTGACAGAAGGTAAATGAAAAATAGGTGGGAACAAGGATAGATCCTTGGGGGACACCAGCTACAAGGAAAGGATGATCAAAGATAGAGCAGTAGTCTGAGAGAATGGTGGGGTACAGGATTACATTTTGAGGATAAGAGATGACAGTGGATGTAAAGGAAAGCGGGACGGAATGAGAAGAGAGAGCGGGCTATTAATGATACCAGAACACGGGGAATTAGGACGGTTGGCCGTTTAGAAATGAAGCCACGTTGAAGGGTCTAGACCTGAAACGTCAGCCTTCCGGCTCCTATGATGCTGCTTGGCCTGCTGTGTTTATCCAGCTCTACACCTTGTTATCTCAAGCGAGCTGAAGATGGGTCTCATGGACAAGGTGAGCTATGATAAGACAGGAGAGGAGATTAGAGAGAAACTGGAGAAAGATGTGAGTTCCTACTTATCCAAGCCCTAAATTTTAGAGATTCAAATAAAAGCAAAGTACTCAGGATCTCAGACTAATGATTTTTTTCTAACCGCCAACTGACGTTGCTGGTTCCCGAAGCCGCTGATGGAGCCTCGGCCTTTGGCCTCGAGCTTGCCTACAAACAGAGCCCGAAACGGTCCCACGGCCAGAGGGTAAACGGGGAGTTTTACCTGGCTCGCGTGTCCTGATCTCGGGCCTGAAACATGACGGTTGCCCCGTACCCCGCGACTCGTTAAAAAGAGACTGGAAAAGCGGCCGTTGTTTCAGCCATCAGCCGCAGCCGGAGCCGGAACGGGCCTGCGCCATACACCGACTACCCCAGTCCCCAACGAGTGCGGAGTTGGCCCCGTTACCATAGCAGCAATAGCAGCCCCGCCTGAGGCGCGCCCCCGCCGCGCGCCCCACACGCCTCGTCAAGGCGCGACCCCCACGCCTGAACCACCTGCCGCGCGCTCCCCAGCCCTTCGCCCTCTGATAACCACGTGATCAAAAAGGGGCAACAAACCTGGAAACTGCTTGTGAATTGCCCTACACTGGTGCAATGTAGTTAACAGCCCTCACTGACTGATGATTCTCATTCAACTTCCCAGCACAGTTGCCCCTTGTTCTTTAGCTTAGAGTTGCAGGTCAGAATCTTGTGGAGGTCGAGACACAGCTGACTCTGTGGGAATATAAATGGGCTGAAAAGCGCCAAATGGAATTTAATCTTGGACTAGGGACGGATAATTTATGCTGGCCAACCAGCAATCCCATGTCTCTCAAATAAATTTTTAAAAATGGTATGAAGTGATGCATTTTGGTAGGACTAAAAGGCAAGGGAGTACATGTTGAATCAACATTGTTGGCAATCAGTTGTTAACAAGCATTATTGTCAACCAAGGAAATTTCATGTCACTAGTCATGGGTTCTGTAGGTTCTTGCACGACTGATGAGTGTGGTTGAATGGTAAAACCCTACAAAGTACAGACAATCAGAGGGACCTTGGTGTGCATGTCCATAGTTCCTTAGGAGGAAAGTTGGTTAAGAAGACATATGGGATGCTTGCTTTCATAAATCAAGGCATTGAATACAAGATCAAAGGGGTTATGAAGGTGCTGTGTGTAACATTAGTTCAGCCACAGCTGGAGTACTGTATACAGTTCTGTTTGCCACATCATAGGAAAGGTGTGATTGCACTGGAGAGAGTGCAGAAGAGATTCACTAGGATTTTGAAGCATTTCAGATACGAAGACAGACTAAGTAGACCAGGGTTGTTTTCTTCAGATTAGAGAAAGCTAAGGAGGACCTGACTGGGGTGTACGAAATGATGAGGGCCACAGACAGGATACATAGGAAGAAACATTTCCTCGTAGTTAAGGAATCAATACACAAGGGGCATAGATTTAAGGGAGGGAGCTGAAGGTTTAGGGGGAAATAACGGAAGAATTTTTTCACACGGCAGATGGTGGGTATCTGGAACTCATTGCCTGAGAGAGTGGTAGAAGCAAGAATCATCACAAAATTTAAGAAGCTTTTAGATGATCACTTAAAGTGTTGCAGTAGTGTTTGACATTCAAGCAGCTTTGGCTCAGTATTTATAAGCTGGAGGCAAGGTGCCTGGTGCCAAGATTTGGGAAATCTACTCAAGACTGGAAAGGAAATTGTAGTGAGAATGTAGGATCCATTGGTCATGGTCCATGTAGATACCAACATGGGCAGAACTAAGAAACAGATTGTGCACGCACGTTATAGGAAACTAGTCAATAAATTAGAAAGTGATTCTTTGACCTTTGTGACTGAGAAAGTAGAAAGAATTTTTAACTAAACAGTGTTGGGGAAGCATGGGCTCAAGGGATCAAATGTGGAAAAAGTAGCACACCAAAGAGACAAGGTAGGAGAGGAAAATAATAATATGGGAAATGATGCTCAGAGAATGTAAGAAGAGGCAGAAAGAAAAAATCAAGGAATACACCTACAAGAAACAAAAACAAAGTTGCTGGAAAAGCTCAGCAGGTCCGGCAGCATCTGTGGAGAAGAAAACAGAGTTAACGTTTCAGGTCCAGTGACCCTTCCTCAGAACTGGAACCAGCCTTGGATAAGTAGGAACTCACATCTTTCTCCAGTTTCTCTCTAATCTCCTCTCCTGCCTTATCATAGCTCACCTTGTCCATGAGACCCATCTTCAGCTCCCTTGAGATAACAAGGTGTAGAGCTGGATGAACACAGCAGGCCAAGCAGCATCATAGGAACCGGAAGGCTGACGGTTTCAGGTCTAGACCCTTCAACTTCATTTCTAAACGGCCAACCATCCTAATTCCCCGTGTTCTGGTATCATTAATAGCCCGCTCTCTCTTCTCATTCCGTCCCGCTGTCCTTTACATCCACTGTCATCTTTTATCCTCAAAATGTAATCCTGTACCCCACCATTCTCACAGACTACTGCTCTATCTTTGATCATCCTTTCCTTGTAGCTGGTGTCCCCCAAGGATCTACGTAACATCCATAATAATGTAAAAAAAATGATAGTGCACATTGTATTAATATTTTCAATCTCATAGTCATTGAGGAGACTTGGTTTCAGGATTACAAGGATTAAGTCCTGAATATGGAGGGGTATATGACATTCAAACCAAAAAATGGATAAAAATGGAGGATCGCACTGTTAATCAAGAATGGCATATGCAATAGTGACAGATTATCTTGTGTCAGGTGGTCAGGAAGCAACCAGTTTAGGTAGAGATGAGGACTAGTAGGAAAAGGAGTTACTACTGGGAGTAGTCTACAGGTCCCCTATCAGTGAACAAAATGTGGGACAACAAGATATGCAAGAAGAAATAAGACATTGAATGTCATTAAGGCAAAGATAGACTGGTTCTTGATTAGAGGAGCAGGAAAGTTGATGTATTGGGTACTGACCGGAAACGTCAACTTTCCTGCTCCTCTGATGCTGCCTGGCCTGCTGTGCTGCTGCAGCTCCACACTGTTATCTCTGACTTCAGCATTGGCAGTTCTCACTATGTCCAGGATATTGTTTAGTAAGTGGATGAAGGGTTATGGGGAGAAGGCAGGAAAATGGGGTTGAGAAACATATTAGCCACAATTGAATGGTGGAGCAGACTCAATGGGCCAATGTCCTAATTCTGCACTTATATCTTATAGTCTTATGGCAGTATGGGTGATTGTTATACAGGGACATTCATGGGTGACTTTAATCTACATATAAACTAGAAAAATCAGATTATTAGTGACAGCTGGAAGAGTTTCTTTCCGCATTAGAACTGATCAGAGAATAGGTTATATTGTGTAATGTGGCTGAATAAATTAATTACATCTTTAGGATTAATAAAAATGTTTTCTCATCTCTGTCATAAATGGGTGACCCCTTATCTTTAAACCATGACCCCTAATTCTAGATTCTCCCACAAGATGAAACATTCTTTTGACCTTCAGCTGATCAAGTCCCCTTAGGATCTTGTATCTTTCAGTCAAGTCACCTCAGACTCCTAGGAACGCGGTGGGAAATTGATAGAGGGGAAGAGGTGTTTTTGTTTTTTTGTTAGTGTGGTTTATAGTTTGAAAGGACTATATCCTGTAGTAATAAGGACTAGGGAATAATGACCCTAGAGTAATTGATATTTTGCTATTAACCATCTTCCAAAATATTTAATTTAAAGGGGTATGTCTTGGCAAAATAATTCAAAGCTGTGTTGCAATTTTCCTTCTGTATTTTGGGAAGTTGGGCACAGTTCAAGTGCCTGGGGGCCAATACGTGTACAGGAAGTGTCTCCAGACACAGCTCCTGGAAGTCCAGGTCGGGGACACGATGGCTTCAGCATGACCAGGATGGGAACTGAACATCCAGTATTTGGAAAGACAGTCAAAAAGGAAAAGACAGTTGAGTTGCTTTACTGATTAAAGAGGAAACTAATTCAATAATGAGGAAGGATTTCAGCTCTAACGATGCAGAATCTGTGTGGGAAGAACTGAAATAACCCAAGGGGCATAAAACAAAGGCGCTGTATTGAGACCCTCAAACTGATGTTGGGAATGGCATTAAACTAACTAACTAGGAAATTAGCAATTCAGGCAATGTAATTATGGGTGATTTTAAGTTGTAATGAGGAAGATGAATTTTTGGAGTGTATATAGGATGGTTTTCTGAACCCATATATTGAGGAACACCTAGAGAACAGAACACACCAGGCTATTGCATAATGAGAAAGGAATAATTGGCAATCGAGTTGTGTGAGGCCCCTTGGGGAAGAGCAACTATAATGTGATGGAATTTCTTGCCAAGATAGAGAGGGACGTAGTTGATTCCAATACTAGGGTTCTAAATCTAAATAGAGGAAATTACAATTGTATGAGGCACAATTAGGATATGATGGATTGGGGACATTACTTAAAAGGAAGATGGTGGAAAGGCAATGGCAAAATTCAAAGAGTATGTGGGTGAACTGTAGCAATTGTTCATTCCTTCCTGACACAAAAATAAAACAAATTTACCCAGTACTACTTCCCTGGTAATTGTTATTTTCTTGAGTTCCTCTCTCCCTTTCATTTCCGATTTACAGCTATTTCCCAAATCATACTATTATCCTTTCTGGTGAAGACCAGTGCAAAATATCTGTTCAGTTCATCTGCCATCTCTACTAATTCCCCAGACTCATTTTTTATAAGATCAACACTTTGTTAATACTTTTCTTTTTTTAAATATCTGAAGGAATTTTTTTCTATCTGTTTTATATTTTTGACTAACTTTCCCTCATTCTAATTTGCCCCTCCTTATTTATCTTTTAAAAATGTTTTGTTTTTTTTAATATTCTGCCCTATCTTCTGACCTGCCATCTACCTTTGCACAATTATATGTTTTTTTAAATGGTACTATCTTTGTCAATTTTTTAGCTAATCAAGTGTGACAGGTCTATCCCTTAGATTGTTTTTGGAATATATCTATTCTGTGCTTTCTAGAATATTCCCTTAAATGTTTGCTACTGTATCTCTTTTGATTGATTCCTTAACCTAAATTGTCAGTTCACTTTCACTAGCTCTGTTTTCATGCCCTCCTAATCTCCCATGTTAAAATTCAAAATAGGAGTTTTGGACCCACACTTTTCTTCCTTAAACTGATTTCACTGTGTGCCATTTCAGAATTCTGAGAACATGCAAACTTGAACTTTACAGTTTCCAGATACCTCCTCCTTTCACTGGTGTGTCGCAGTAGTCACAGCTTAGACTCTAGCTCATCAATTCTGAGCCGAAGATCCTTAATTAGCCAACATTTGCTGCAGATGTGGTCACTGCGGAACCCACCAGGTCGCACGTTCTACAACTGCAACACATCACCTGTCCAGCCATTTCTATTAAATTTAACTTCCTAACTACTTGTTCAGCTGCAATAGCATCTCC